ATAGATAGATAGATAGATAGATAGATAGATAGATAGATAGATAGATAGAAGAAATGTGAATTAGTTGACACTGTGAGCACATTTGGGAAAATACTGTGCTTATGATATAAAGGTCTTGGACTACATTATCCTTTCAAACAAGTACCCTAAAAATAATTTAAATTTATGTTAATATCTATAGATTCTGTGAGAGATAACCCAATGACTTTGTTTTCTTTTCCAGATATTGTTTTGTTTTTGCTTTGGGATACCTCACTGTGTGCCAAATTTCTAGAGTTTATATATTTGACTATGGACAATATTCTGCTGATTTTTCTGGGTAAGAATAACTATTTTCAGTACTCCCAGCAATTATTTTTGTAGCTAGATATAGTTAAGTCTGAATTAAGTATAATTTATTTGAGACTTCATAAATGTCTAAAAATTTCAGAGTTTTAAAAAATCAGAATGTATGCATTTTAGAGCTCTTTACCTGTTTGTTTACTGCAACAGAAGAGTATGAGGTAATATAACCCAGGGATGTGACTTAACATGAGAAAATGTGTACACATATATATGGTAAATACCAATTTTCTATCTAGCTCCTTCATAAGTATATAATTCAGAATAGAACTATATCTTAAATAGGATATTTGTGAATGATTACTCTTGTGGGCTACAAGTCCAGAAGAAATTCAGATCAAACCACTTGTGTCATCTCCTGATTAAGATGTACAGGCAGTTTTTTTTATTTTTTTGAAACAAATTTTATTAATTTTAAAAACAAACAAAACATCATTAAACATTGAAAACATGACACCTCTTTCTGTTGTAAATCTTTACAAGGCAGTTCTTTACTTATGACCACAGTTGGAGTTTTGGTGGTAAGTTGTTGTTACCACATGACCAATCAGTTTTACAACTGTGTCTATGATGGTCATTAAGCATTTCATAAAATAGCAAAAAATTCACATAACACTATCTCGGATGAGTGCAGAATGTTGCAGCTGTTCATAAATGTGAGCTGTTTGCCAAGCACCCAAAAAGCAATGATGTAACTATGGAGATAGTGTGGCAATCTTAACTCTGAGGATGAGTGGTGGTAAGTAACTTTTTTCAAGTCAGTCATAACTTCAAATATTCGTTAAGCAATTGGACATAAGTCCAGGACTACCTGTACCTTATTGCATCTTTCAAAACATAAAGACTTTAAAAACCTTTGTATATCTCTCTGGAATCGTCCAAAGCAATCATGAGTATTGAGAGATTTCCTTTCCGCAGTTCCTTTTCCCTTTCTTCCCCATCTCTCATTTTTAAAAGTTTGGTTTTGTATTTGAGTTCACAAATTAATCTTTTTTTTGTACTGGGGAAGTATAGGAAAGCTAAAAATATTGACTATTTTACTTCCCCTCCTCTTGGAACATGACACTAAAGTTACTTTTAGAAGAAATCATTTATATTGCAACACTGTGTCTTCATTTCTCTACTTTTGAGTTATGTAATTGGGAAACAGCATTCTCCAGGGTGAATTTCTGTTATATTGCTTTCCCTGTTGTTACCATTACGTATGTGTCTAAAAGAAAATCTTCTGTGTGATGTAAAAGTGGCAAAGTATTCCTTGTAGACCGGTGGTTCAGTTTTTCGAGGTTGATTATGTTCTAATATTTATAGAGCAAATATATGTGCAGTGCAAATAAAGTTAGATTTTAGTGGTCCATTATTTACAAGGGCCAGTGTTATTTTTTTCTATTACCTCTTTGTCTGCTCAATGATATTGTATTATTCCGGTTTGATTAGCAAATTTACTGAAAACCTTTAGATTTTTATGTGTCAAAGGGAGGCATCCATACTGGGGAATGGTGCATATGCATGTAGCTGGCTGCTTACATAATGAGAACAAACCTGTCTGAAAGTCAAGCTTGTGCATGCTTCTCTTTCTCCTCTCCTTTTTGTGCCTGAAGGAAAGAACTTCAGATGTCCTGTTTTTAATTTGTGGTTAATTTTGTCCTCAAATCAGGATATCCCCATTTGAAACATCATTTGACATTTTGTGAACTTAATCAAATAATGCTTTGTGACAAAGGAAGGATAGAAGCTCCTTCCTTTATGGAGGGAGGAACAATTGAGCCGAAATGTGTTCATTTTCTGAACAGGCTCTGTGATTTCTCAAGCAAATCAGCCTTTGAAAATATATCATTTCCTGCCAGTGTAAATGCCATTGGTTTCTTTGTTTCTCTCTGCCTGAGCCTACCAATGAAAAATTCCTTTCAGTGGCAAAATATTTTTTAAAAAACATGAATATTCTCTCTCATTCAGCCTTATCTTGCCATAGAGAAGTACTATTTTATAAAAGAAATCTAAATTTCCTGTCCTTTCTCCATCTTTGTTACAGCCCAATGATGATAATTACTCAGAAAATTACAAGTTTGGCGTATGAAATTCATGATGGTAAGAATTGGGGGTGAGAAAAGACTTCCTTCTTTAAATTTTTAACACAAATTGGGGAGGAGAATTTTTTTTTTAAATTGTGGGTAGAACAATGTGTTTTGGCCAGCTGTTCTTTTAACTTGCAGTCTTGAAAAACCCTTTCATTTTCTATCCGATTACCGGATATTCAACCAGTTGAATGTATGATATATTCCTTCTTATAAAGCCAGTGGAATTTTATTGACAGACGCAGTATTGTGATGATTTCATTAAACCAATACTTCTTTTTTTTAGTTCTTGCTTGTATAATTATTTTTAAATGGGTAAATTGTATTGTAGTATTATTTATTAAATCAATAAAGTCAACTTTTTTCAGATTTAATACAAGGAAGTTTGCATCTTAAAATCTCCATAGAATACAAAAGTATTGTAGATGAAAATTAAACTAAGCAACAAGTTGGAAAAAAATAAGTAGTAAAAATTGTAGAGTTATGAAAATACTTACAAGTCTAAATAAATAACAATAATTAGGTGTTTACTTTAGAGAACTGAAGATCTGAAAAGAGAATGCTTTTAGACCAGAAAAGTCTGTTGATTTTATTTGTGAATAAACAGAGATAATGGCTACATTAGGATATAGCATTAATCATGGTTTAGCATTAAGTGAATAGGTTGCTGTAAGCCTCATGCTTACATCCTCCCTCCCTCCCTCTCTGAAATATTAGAGGCAGCAGTGGGCATTCTTCCAAGTTGCATTAACATTAACTTAGCAAATTTCTTATAATAGGTGTATATAATATAATACCTAATAATAGGTGTATATAATTTCTTATAATAAGTGTGTTTTTAGCTCATGAAAAAGCATTAAGAATTTGGGAGTCTTTAATGAACAGCAGGAAGTTGCTGTGCTCTCATGAAATCTGAATCATTTCATTCAAATAATTTTTCAGTTATCCACAGCCCTATAATAATGTAGTCTCTTGCTACTTAAAGCTGTCCATTATTGCAAAAATCTGGACAATCATTAGATAGTAACAGAGAATTAGGATTTTCATAACTCTTTGCTCCCAGTTAGTAATCATCTGATTATATGGAGCCATGTACGTTGGCTCTACTCACTGTTTTAAATCAATTTCAGTTTACATTTTCAGTTCTTTGCTTTCTTTCCCCTTCTGTTCCATTGTGTCTTATTCTTGGAAACTGCCTGGACAAGTCCCTGTATTTTTCTTGGCAAGATTTTTTAAAGTGGCTTGCCACTGCCTCTTTTCTAGGGCAGAGAGAAAGTGACTGGCCCAAGTCCACCCAGCTGGCTTTGCTTAAAGTGGGACTAGGACTCAGCCTCCCTTTCTAACTTGAGGCCTTAAATCACTACACCAAACTGGCTGTCAAGCTATATTACAACATGCTTAAAATTACATATGATGAGTTGAGGTGGGACAGAAACGTACATTAGGAGTTTGACTTTGTTTTGTTTTATTTAATTATTTAAGATTAAATCATGGTCTTTCTGATCCAAAGGTACAAGAAATAGCACTTTTGCATGATATGCTAAAATGTTTTGATTTGGCCTAGCTCGCCATCTGAAAACAGATCATGGAAGCAATCATGGTTAAGCCTGCGTCTTCGCTATGATTGTAGTTGTGGCATGTTTTGATTAGCTTGCTTGAACTGAACATGAGAACAAGGAATAATGGCAATCTTTTAATTAAATAGCATTTAGACCTTGAAGAAAATAACCTGATGATTCAGTGGCTTCTGCCCATGCACAGAACGGCCTTTTCCTCATAAAGTGGACCAAAATTTTGAACCATCTCAATCATCTGGATGTAATAAACTGATTAGGAAATCTGGACTGATAACTCTGTTCCAATCTGTGCCCATCCTAGTTTAATCACAGAGAGGATTAGAATGCTGGCAAAGTGTCCTCTCAAATCCCTCCTAGCATCAGTTGCTCTTATTATATGGCCTCAGATTGCAATTACTTCTCTTCATGACTATCGAGAGAGAGAGAGAGAGAGAGAGAGAGAGAGAGAGAGAGAGAGAGAGAATGAATACGAATTGTTCCAGCACAAATGTGTCTGTGGTTCTTTCAGCAGCCCCAATGGTTTACCATTTTCTTTCTTGCTCATGTGCAGGAATGTTCCGAAAGGAGGAGGAACTGTCGCCATCACAGCGTTGCTTAGCTGTGAGGTAAGTGCTTCTCTGTTTTAATGTCAGCGGCTGCCTCAGATCCCATGTAAGTCAGCCTTTTAGCAGCTTTGCAGGGAACAGATACATTTGGATTCTGTGCATTTGGGTATTTTCCATCTTTTTTACAATAACATGAAGAAAGCCATTGTAAGCGCTTTGTGCCAAACTAAACAAAGCAGCATAAAGACAAACTAAATAAACTGGGGTGCTACAAGTAATTGTCGACTTACATCCACAACTGAGACCAGTATTTTCGTTGTTAAGCAAGGCAGTTGTTAAGCTGATTGCTGCCTTTGTTAAGTGAATCACATGGTTGTTAAGCAAATCTGGTTTCCCTAGACTCTGCTTATTGTGAGCAGGGCTGGGAAGGTTGCAAAATTCAATGACAGCAAGCATCGCACATACATGCCATTTTGATCATGTGACAGTTCTAAGAGCAAGGACCAATTGTAAATCACTTTCTTCAGGCTGCTGTAACTTCAAAAGCTCACTAAACCAATGGCTGTAAGTCGAGGACTACCTGTATTAACACCGAAGAAAGATCAATTTGCATTTAATTGTTGGAGTGTGACTCCCATGTCCTTGTTTTATTGAAGTAAATTTCTAGTAGCATGCTACTGACTTAGTCTGGCTTCCTGGATTTTCTCTATTAAGGAGAAATCAGATTGCTTAATGCAAGGGTGTCAGACTGGATTTCTTTGATCAGCATAGTAGTTCTCCATGGGCCGGTTGCGGGGGAGACGGGACAGAGGCCTCTTGCAGCACCCTGCTGGCCAAAACAGGGTGCAGGGGCCCTGTTTTCGGCCTGGACGATCTGCAGTACCCTGCCAGCCAAAATGGGAGCAGGCAGCTCATCATTTTGGCTGCCAGAAGCACCGCAGAGGCAGTCCTTTGCTATTTCCAGGCCGGCCCCGTGAGCCAGATTTAAGCACCCCACAGGCTGGAAATCAGGCGTGTGGGCCATGAGTTTAACACCCCTGCCTAATGAATCACATATCATGCTGTGCCTGTTAAGGAGGAAGGACTGTAGGCCCATAACTACCATGTTTCTAATATAATAAGGTTGGCTTTTTTTTTTTGAGCCGGCTAGGCCGTCTTTTCGGGGGTGACTTAATTGCCCCCCTTGTATCCTTGGGCAGGCGGGCAGTGACGGCTTGGATGTTGACCTCGGCGTTGGTGGGGCACTTTGTATCAGGAGACCTTCCGTGACTGTTGCTTTCCCTTCTCCCTGTGCTGCCGCGACATTTAGAGCAACGCTGTGGTGTTTGGCGCAGCCATGCAGCATTTGGCGCCAGGGGTCCTTCCTGCAAATGGAACCCAGCGGAGACACTCGACTTCAGGCGCTCCTGTCACCGCCTTCCCGGGCATCGTTCCAAGGAAAAGCCCATTCTTTTAAAAATGACACCCTACTACCGGTATAACAAAGCCTGCCCTGCCCAAGAGGGCAGCCCAACCCCACATGAGGAGGCGAATCTCCTGGGGCCACAGTGCAGGATCAGCCCATCCCAGGAGAAGCGCCCAGCTGCTATCCCTGCCTGGTGCCAGGCAGAGCGCGAAGAACTTCGCCTGGGGTGCCCAGCGCAGCTGACAGGCAGGCCCTCCTGCCCGGTGGTGGAGCTCTGGCCAAAGCAGTGAGCGCCTCCCCACCGGACAATCCACTCATCCTGCCAGGGCCACTCCGGAGGCGGGCGGGGTTGGCAGATCCAGGAAAGCAAGCCACTGGTGCGCACTCACCTGCCAAGCGAAAGAACTGGGCTGACTCGAGCTTGGCTTCCTTCCCAAGTCCCTCCAGCCCGACCCAGAAGGGGCCACTGGGAGAGGCCGCCCGAGGCAGTGATAGCGCTCACCCATCCGTGGACAGGGAGGCAAGGTGACAGCCCGCGCCACGTCCTCCGAGCTGAGCGCCTCTGCCCAATGCCCATGCCGCTGCAGCGTTTGGAGCTGCCGGTGAGTTTGGAGATGCGTGGGGACAGGGACGGGCTGGGTGAGGGCACTTTCCGCTGGACCTGCCAGCCAGGGAAGCAGCACCTGAAGCCGAGTGTCTCCACCAGGCTCCGGTTGCAGGGAGGAGCCCTGGCTGGCTGCGCGTGGCTGCGCCAAATGCCGTGTAGCTGCGCTAAATACCGCAGCGTTGCTCCAAACACCGCTGCAAGCCCCCCCGCCATTCCCCCCCATTTCGCCTGTTTTAATATAAGCCTTAATTTGGGGGGGGGGGGGGGGCTTAATTTCATTTCATGCCAAGAAAACATGCTGGGACTTCCTATTGGGGGAGGCCGTATTGTTGGAGAAACAGGGTGCCATTGGCTAAAATTGATTGAGATTAATTGATCGAGATTAATTCAGCAATCTTTATTAGGGCCACAAATTTCCCATTCCTGCTTGATCTTTTGACTAGTACAGGATCCTTAATAGACCATATAGTCTTAGTAGACCTTAATAGTCAACTAGTTTTGAATCCCAATTTTTTTATCTATGAAGTTTACTGTCAGCTAGACAGTTAATCTAAAACCAATCACTGTGTGGTATTAATATTGGTATATTATATTACATTATATTAATTATTTTGTACTAGATTTCTTGTTACTAAGATAGAAATAAAATTTCACCAGTTGCTTGTCTTTGAATTACAGACGCATGCCAAGTCTACTGGAATATTTAAGTTACAACTGTAATTTCATGGGTATCCTGGCAGGCCCATTATGCTCTTATAAAGACTATATTACTTTCATTGAAGGCAGATCATATCAGCTGACACAGTCGGAAGCAAATGGGAAAGAAGAAATAAAATATGAACAAACAGATCCCTCCCCAAATGTAAGATCTATTATTATTGCGATGGTGCTGTTGTGGCTGCATGGGAAGTCTAGTTTGCATTCTGCATTTTTCACAGACATAACTCAAACTGTATCTGGATCATTTTCATAAATGACATAGTTCTTTCTTCAATAATCAAGCACTGAGTTCATCTAAAGGTCAATATTCTCCATAGATAGTTAATTTTGGATCTTATGGGCTGTGGAAAGCTTGGGACATATGTTTAATTCATCCCATGTACTGCCATCAAAACCATCAGTAAAAAAAGCAATGCAGATTGCTTTTATTACTCTAACTTTTGCTGGTATTGGATTTCCATACAATAAGCACTGCTTTAACTAACTTCATAGACTTTTCTTTCCTGGTAGTCTTTCCAAGACTTTCTAAAACATCTTGGATATCCCACTGAACTGTAACTAAATTTTCAAACAAGAACCAAAAGATACTTAAAAAAATCATTCTCGGATATAAAATATAAATAAAAGGTGTCTTGCTTATTTGTTCTTCATTTAATTATTAATTAAACAGGCTGCACAGCATTTCAGATTCAAAGGCAGAAATGTAATTTGAACTGCACATGGATGCTTATGTAGCATCTGCCAGGAGCTTCTTCAAGATCTTGAATTTTTTTTTTCTGGGCTCAGATGGCTCGCCTTCTTCAGCTACCCAGAAAAGACAAGATCTTGAATTGTTTTCATCATTTGAAATATCCTATGTACTCCAAATCACACTTTTCTCTTGAAATCTGAAACCCTAGTTAACCAGATGTTTAATTAAATATATACAGGTACACCTCAACCTATGTCTAGTCACTTAGCGACCATTTAAAGTTGTGATAGATGGACCCTCCAAAAGGTACTAATATCCTGGATTCAAAGTTCTGATGGAAGGAATCCCTTGTGGTCATGTGATCACATTTTGGGCAGTTGGCCATTGACCTGCATTTAAGGCCGTTTAGAACATCCTGTGATCCCGTGACCACAGTTTATGATGGTTCTTCCTTGAAACTGCTGTTTACTTCCGGTTTCTGTCCCCCACCCCCAAAAAGCCCACTGCAGACAGTGGGCTCATTTAACAACTGTGGATTTGCAGAATGACCACTGATTCACTTAATAACCACCACAAAGAAATATGATGAAATCGGGTGAGTCTCGTGATGACTCCGTTAACAATCAGCACAACTTATAAATTGTGTAAATTCCAGGCTCAGTTATGATTGTAAATCGAGGACTATCTGTATTTAAATCAAAAGTTTGTCTCCTCTAACTCCCCCCTCCTCCAATTAGTATTTATAAATTCGACTTAGTTTTTCTTAGCCGAAGCCTTTGCTCAGCTTTGCTTTAATGCCTACCTTCAATTAGGATTTCTCTCTGAGAAGAAAGAACCATGCCGAAGATTCTGAATTTAGCCTTGGATGCTTCCTTACAAGAGGAGAGCATGACTTCTTCTTTAGATATAGTATAAAAAAAATAAAATAAAACAAGCATCCTTTCATCCCCTTCTTTTTGCCCCTCCTCTTTCTAGGTTCTCGTAGTGGTGTGCAACTTCATTCAAGTCCACATGTGTCCTTTCTAGAATTCCCCCTTTTTTCTTTTTCTCAGATTCTTTTCTACCCACTATTGGCCATTTCTGAAACGAGTCCAGCCTATTTATTTTCTGTTGGCTGCATACTTCGGTTAGTTATATCAGCAACATTAAGGGATTCTCCCTTCTGTTATTTTTTTAGTCAAGGATGAAGAGAAGTTGTTTTATAGTGATGTGCAAACAATATTTATTTCCCCACATTTATATTGGTTTAGAAATCGTTGAGAGAAGTATAAATGCCAATTGTATTAATTTTCAGAACCATAAACTGCTAAACGTTCTGCAATTAGCTATAAACGTTCTGCAATATATCTATTATTAGTTATTGTAAACACTGCCTCATACGCTGTAAGGTTTGAAATAGTTACAGGCACCTATGCATCGTTGCTTTAAGCTGAAGTATACAACCATTTTATAGAACAAATCACTAATCATGACACTGAATATCTCTGTACATTAAACAAAAATGTATTTTCTCAAGGAACAGCAATTAATCAAAAGTAGTTTTATATAGCAGCATTTCATTTTAAACAAACGTTTTATGCATGTGGATATGTAGTATAAATGTGGGGAAATAAATATTGTTTGTAATGTCTTAAAACCTACAATCTTGTAATTCCGGGACTTATGTCCGAGACATTAAGTTTACCGTGTTGCAAGCCCTTATAATGTTAAATCCAACCCAGTCTCTGCTATTTTAAGAAAGCTTTATTTTAACAATTACTTATAATTAAAAAAAAATACTTAATGAAATATGTGGCACTGCACTTTGTAATGAAAGGAAAATGATGCAATTCTACTTTGCATTCTCATTCCCCAAGAGCTATCATATACTTATAGTATTTGAAAGCAAGCATCATTATTTTTCATAATGCTCTCTAATAATTGTCATAAAATGCATTCTTAGTTTAGATTTCAATGGAAAAATAAACAGACATTTGTAGTTAAAATAAAACAATCCATGTTAAGATTCTTATGGCATAAAAATTGTAATCTCATTTTAGCATATATATATATATATATATATTATCATTTAAGTGTTCAATGAAAAAATTATTCGTGTATCTGTCTGTGGAGCATGTTGTTTGATCAGTTTTAAGTAGTTATACAACATTAATCACAATAGTAATCATAATAGCCATATCAATATTAATCACAAAATAGTAATACAATTAGTTTGTCCATCTTGTAAAAATTTCAATATTTTTTTTTTCTTTTTGGTCTTTTTAGGTTTTAACCTCTGTTCTGTTAGTTAACCATTAGTAAAACAAGTCCCATGTTAAAATAGATTCAGTTTCTTCTTTTTCTTTTAAGTGTTAATCTATCCATCTCAGCACATTCTAGTATTTTTTATAACACTTTCATCTGTAGGAATCTCTTCATTTTGCAAACACAATTCTTGTTGCCATTAATACATGTATTACATTAATAAATGTAAAATTAAGTATGTTTTCTCTTTATTATACTGTTCTGGTATATTTTATATTTTGAGTCAGAAAAGATAATGAAAAAGATGATTTATTTATGATGTATTTAAGTACAGGCAGTCCTTGACTTACAACCATAACTGAGCCCAAAATTTATGTTTCTAAGCAACACAGTTGTTAAGTGAGTTTTGCCCCATTTTACAATCTTTCTTACCACAGTTGCTAAATGAATCATTACAGTTAAGTTAGTAACAGTTGTTAAGTGAATCTGGATTCTCTATTGACTTTTGCTTGACAGAAGATCGCAAAAGTTGATCACCTGACCCGGGACACTGCATCCATCATAAATATGAGTCAGTTGCCAGGTGTCTGAATTTTTATCTCATGAGTTCATGGGGATGATGCAATGGTTGTAAGTCACTTATTTCAGTGCCATTGAACGGTCATTAAATGAACTGTTGCAAGTCGAAGACTACCTGTATTACAATAAAAATTAATTTATATTTTGAAGCAGATAACAGTTTATTGTAGCATAATGGGGGTAACTGCACAAATCTTCTGGTACCTGACTTGAATGATAAAGGAAACTTATTCTCACCACCCCAAAGTTGCAATTTTCATGTTCTGATGCAATCAGATTTACTTGTAATTAAATAACTCAACACTGAATGATCAGTACACTTATTCCAATTAAAGGATGCACAGAATTGCAATATTCTGCAGTTGCAGAATGAAGCACTATTTTATTTTAATTAATTGGTACAACCACCCTTTTCTTAAACACTTATAGAATAGAATGGCTGATAGAATTTAAGATATGGATGCAAAATAATGATAGATAAAACAACAAAAGCCAAAATGTTTTGGATTTTTTCTGCATGTTGTTTTATTAAAGTTTAGATAGGATTTTCATTTTTTATTTCATAGGGTTCTATTTTTCTTCATACATTCAAAGATTTTTTCTGATAAAACATTGAAAATTTTTAAATGCTTCTTTTTTTTTTACTTGAAATTCCTCTCCCATTTGGTTGATTTTGATTTGGGGCAATAAAAAAATCCTCCCCTCTTCCCTTCATTCCTTGGGAAAATTTGCATCTTTCCCAACAGAGAGAGGATTTAAACAACAACAACAACAAGAATTTTCCAAACTGATGTAACTAATGCATCCCATGGATGTTGAGTCACAAAATGTCACTATACTCTGCTGTGCACCAGACTATCCATAGATAATTGTTCACTATCTTCTAGTGGCATTAAGACTCTATTTCTACCTTTCCTACAGCCAATATTCAAACAAATTGGTTGGCTGCTTTCTTACTTGTATTAAAAGTGAAGATGATGGTATGTTGGTTTTACTGATTTGGAAATACCAGTTTCCAACCACAGAAGCCAAAAACGTAGGAATTTTAGAATGTCATTCCCAGTTCCAACTGCAGATACAAAATAGATTTTGATTCCTAATATAAACAAATAATGATAAGTGGGTGGTGTTTACTTCCTCTCTATAAAGACTTATTAGAAAATGCTGATGTATAAATAAGCACATCTATCTGTGAGGATTTATATGTAACACTACTTCAAAATGTGATTTAATTACTCAGGACAGGTAAGTTTTTCCCCCCACTGTATTGCTTATCTGCTTAACATATTTTATGGTTTATGCCACTTTAGCTTTCTGACATCAACCAAAACTGTGTGTGCTCTTGACACTTCACCTATTGCCAATGGTGTTAAGAGAAACCTGGCTGTCCTTTGGGGAAACCCTTTGAATGGTGCGGCTCTTGACTTTCTGCATTTTCCCTTCGCAACTTGCAGTTTTATATGGTTATATAAAAGTTTCACTACTGGTTTGTGTTGCTGAAATGCTTGTTTAATTTTTTTTTTTGCTGAATTCTCATACTTGTTTAAAAAACAAAGAATACATGAAGACATTTTTAGATTAAGTTTAAATTTCCTGCACCATGAGGATCAGCAAATGGGAAGCTCTAG